TTTCGCTCTTGGATAGGGAAACCTTTACGCAGACATCAATTAGCCTATAAATAATTAATTTTGTTTGTTAAGCGCAAATATTTGTTTCAAAACTATTTCTAAATTCAGTTCTAATTTCAAGCAAACTAATAAATGAACAATAATAATAAAGTGTGGTCAAAAAGTTATATCCTAAAACATATGCTTTGCCCCATATGGTCTAAAACCTGCAGGTGGGCAAATCTAAGCTTGTTTTTAATAAAACAAATATAAATATGGATATAATAAATAATACTGCTACTAATAATAACATTATACAAAAGCAAATTGTTATGAATGAACTGAAAAAGCCTCCCGAGTTGAAAAAGGCATAAAAGCAGTGGTTTTTCATATTTATGTAGGCTATAAAATAATATGTTTTGTAATATTTTAATCCTTTATATTTATATCCTATATATTCTTATATATATATATATATATATATATATATATATATATATATATATATATATACTTAATATTTAATTATTTTTCATATGCAAAGATATTTGCGTATTGCTCTACATCTTCCTGTGTGTATTAAGCAGTGTGTAAGCGAGGCGCAACTCTGCCCTCGACTTTAGTCCAGGTTTGTTTTGGTCTATTAAAAAATCTATTATAGTTTCTCAAAATAGCAACTTGCCAGCAGTACACCTCAGAACGCCTTCATTTTTAGACCAGAACACCTATGGGCGCACATATGAGCGCAAATGCATTTGCTATTTAAACAGCGTAGCGCAACGCTTTAAAACGACTCTTGCGCCAAGCTGTAACTAGCAAAAGACTAGTGCTGCGCGCCTTGCGCCACATTGCGCCGGGTGTATGATAAGGCCCCTTGACTCGTTTAATCCACTGGCTGACTCTCTGTGTTTATGACAGGCTAAAATATGACATACTTTGCTGCTGTTGATATCAGACGGGAGTTCTCTGCCAAAAATATGCTGGGATTTTTCTGTTTTTGCTAGAGATGTAAAATCTGGTGTAATTATCTGGAAATTGGAAGTATGTGAATCTAATCTGGATCTCTCTTTCTCTGGCTCGCTGCAGGTCTCTCAGTAGCGCTTGTGCGTGAGTGATGGTTCAGCCAGGCTAATAGTTCTTTAATGACTTCATTAAATTGTGTTTTGCGGCTTATGATCGCTGTGCCAATCTGTCATCGGGGCTAATGTAGGAACGTTAAGATCGCCCACTTTTATTTAGGAATTAATTCCACATCTCCAGAGGCCTAAGAGAGGAATACAATGAGGGTCCGAGCTGGCAGAGATTGGAGTGAAAATAATGCCATGGCGTTATGTGTGTGTGTGTGTGTGTGTGTGTGTGTGTGTATGTGTGTGTGTGTGTGTGTGTGTGTGTGTGTGTGTGTGTGTGTGTGTGTCATATAATGAGATCAGATTAGCTCTGGGTCTAATGAAACCTGTGGTGATCTATCAGCATTATGTACGACTTCATCCACCCGCTCTATTCATCAAACTACAAACACTCACCCCGCAGAGATGCTCTGCTGATGGAAGGGGTGTGATGGCATTTCTGCTTCCTGTCTTTCTTTTTTTTCCCTTTAACACCTTTTTTTTCTCGCTCTTTCCTCCCCTCATGGTTTGTCTTCACAGATGTGATGTGTTGCCTCTAACACGTTTGCTCTATCTGTCTCTCTCATCTCACTCCATTACTGCAGCTCGCTGCATCTCAAACAGTCTTTCACTGCCACTCGCACAACTTTTCTCTTCTTTTCTTGCCTCTCTCATCCCTCACTGTTTCCTGTCGCCCTTTTTGAAATCTGTTGTTTTTTTTGTCCACTTGATTTCTTTCTTAAATCACATGCTCACATTAATAGTCAGCTTATGTTATTTTTATTTTAGTTTTTAGAAGTTAGGATAACATGCAAAGTATTTTGAAATTTGTAAAATATACCAATTTTCAATAAATGATAATAAATGTTATTTGTTTTAGACTGCACTGAGAAAGAAAAAAAAATCTGTTATTTTATGTTTTTTATTTGGCAGCTGGGGTGCTGGAAAAAAACAAGTAAAATAATAGCTGTTAAGTTACAGAAATTTACCATAAAATAATAGATGGTAAATTACAGAAATTTACCGGAAATTTTAAATTAAGGAAATTTCTTTTGAATTTTGAAAATTTTTTAATCACACGAGTCTCACGTTAACGTAGCACATTAACGCCGATAAAGGCCCACCACTAGTTTCAATTTTTTACAATTTTTTATTTATGATAAAGTCTATTTATATTTATTATTTTTATTATTATTATTTAGAGAAAATTTGTATATGTTAATATATTAAAATGACTCTCATGCTATCTTAAATATTAAAATAATAACATAAATTTACAATTTAAATGTATGATTTAGTGTGGTTAATGTATAAAAGACACCAGCGATCTATGGAGTACATCAGGGGTTGTCAACCTTTTTCATTTCGAGGCCCACCTCCTTCTCCAAAATTTTTTTCATTTTGCCTGACCTTTTCTCCTAAACAGATTGTCTAGAAAAATTATTAGCAAAATATTTTTTTTACCTTCTACTATTCATTCATTCATTTTATTTTCGACTTAGTCCCTTTTTTACTCTGGGGTCGCCACAGCGGATTGAACTGTCAACTTATCCAGCATATGTTTCATGTAGCGAATACCCTTCCAGCTGCAACCGATCACTGGGAAACATCCTTCACACACATGCACTATGGACAATTTAGCTTACCCAATTCACCTATACCATGTCTTTGGACTTGTAGGGGGAAACCGGAGCACCCGGAGAAAACCCACGCGAACACAGGGAGAACATGCAAACTCCACACAGAAATGCCAACTAACCCAGCCGAGGCTCCAACCAGCAACCTTGTTGCTGTAAGGCGATTGTGCTACCCACTGTGCCACCGTGTCGCCCACCTTCTACTATTATTCTCTCATTTTTCTACACCATAATAATATCCATTTAATTTTCTTAAAACATTCACAGATTCAAAGCTCCTGAATTGCTTCAGATATTCTTACAATTGCATAGCCTTTTCTTCAATAAATGAACAAATGTCTTATTGAATGTTTTGTCTTGATAGTTTGTGAATCAACTGACGTGTGGGACTTTGATGCAGTAAGAGTCGCAGGCGTGAAGCACACAGAGGCTGTTTATATTATAACTTGAATCATTGTTACCTTTACATTTGCGTGACGAGTTGCTTTATACAACTGGGAATGTAGTCCTAGTTGCCGTGCAGCAGTTGGAAGTTTTAGCTTTAAGTTTTAAGTTCAAAGTAATCAATCACAGAAAATGTGAAATGCCATTACTTCGATCATTTTAATACGACATATTTAATAATAAATCAAATAGTTATAATAGAATATTTAAGTACATTTTAAGCTGCTGTGCATCCGGAAGGTATTCATAGCTCTCTACTTTTTTAACACTTTTTTTTATGTTACAGCCTAATTCCAAAATGGATTCAATTCATTTATTACCTCAAAATTCTACACACAATTCCTCATAATGGCAATTAGAAAAAAAGTTTTGAAATTGTTGCAAATTTATTAAAAACAAAAAAACCTGAAAAATCACATGTACATCAGCATTCACACCCTTTGCTCAATGCTTTGTTAATGCACCTTTGTCAGTAATTCAAGTCTTTTTGAATATGATGCCAAACCCTTGGCACACCTGTCTTTTGGGAATTTATACCCATTCCTATTTGCAGTACCTCTCAAGCTCTATAATGTTCGATGGGAAGGGACGATGTACAGCCATTTTCAGATGTCTCCAGAGATAGGATTTAGGTCTGGTCTCTGGCTAGGCCTCTCAAGGACATTCACAGAGTTGTTGTGAACCCACTCCATTGATATTTTGGCCGTGTACTTTTGGCTCATTGTCCTGTCGGAAGATGAACTATCGCCCCAGTCTTGAGGTCAAGAGCACTCTGAAGCAGGTTTTCCCACCGGTTATGAATCCCTGGATTACGTTATAATATTAAAACAGATGAATATTCATGATACATAAAATTATTATTATTAGTTATGTATTAGTTTTATATGTTATATATATATATATATATATATATATATATATATATATATATATATATATATATATATATATATATATATATATATATATATATATATATATATATATATATATATATATATATATATATATATATATATATATATATATATATATATATATATATATATATATATATATATATATATAGTTTTTCATGTTTTTTTTCTTTTTTTGATAATTGTTTTTAATGCATATCGTTTTAACTATCTGTCTGTCTATACACTGTATTTGTGCGTACAACCCATTTTGAAAAAAAAATATTTTTCTCCATTTCTCAGTGAATATAGTTGAGTTATTTTGGTGAATTTAAACTAAACAGATTTATTAAACAGATATATTTATTTAAAAAATATTTTAGTACCAAACACATTTAGAAGTTGAAAGATAATGTGAATGAAATCAAGCAAAATTGTGCAAAAAAATTACAACCTACAAAATTTAAACTACATTTTTCAAATTTTTTTTTGGTTCTCTTGATTTTTCCTCTTTTTAAATTTTGTATTTAATATTTTTTTATAACATGAATTTGGGTGTACTTGTTTTTGGACCGTTATCGTAAGTTATTTTGTTAGACAAGACCCATATTTGGTTTCAGTACTAACCAATCTAATGTATATGCAAAAATATAATATTGTATAGCTTCAATCTGTTTTACTTATAACAATATAAGTGGTGTTGCATTATGCAAGAAAGAAATCCAACTATTGTCTGGCCTAATCTGTGCATAATGTCTCCATTCACAGCAGCTCCGAAAACATTTTAGTTCAAGCCATTCATATTTTAACATGCAGATAATCAGGCTTTCCTTCACTTGCGTTGTGGATTAGCCGAATTGCCAGCTTTTCATTTTTCAGCCATGTTTAATCTGCCGAACCGGCACTGATCTCTGTCGTGTGTCTTTCTGTCTGTGTAGCGGTGAGGAATGACAGAAATAAGAAGAAGAAAGAAGAGAAAAAGCCCGAATGCACAGAGAACTACACGCTGAGCCCAGACACAGAGCAGATGATCGACAGAGTTAGAAAAGCCCACCAAGAGACCTTCCCCTCGCTCTGTCAGCTCGGCAAATACACCACGGTAAGGCTGAACGTTCACTCTATTTTCTATTACGCACCAACATATTTCTTTTATGTGTGTATTTTCCAGTGCATTCTTCAAAAATACTCACAGTCACGTGGTTTATTTAAACTCTAAATAGCATTTTGCTTTATTGGTCCATATAAATAATATATATATATTATAAATATATATATTATAAATAAATAATATATATATATATGTGTGTGTGTGTGTGTGTGTGTGTGTGTGTTTATAAAAACATATGATAGTATATTCCTTATATTTCGTAAAATGGACTTAGACAATTAGACAATGCATGGAGTTCATGCCTGATGATGATTGTTCCTGACAGCACTGCAGAAGCCCACACTTCCACAGCAGTGCCACAACCAGGCCTCAATATTAAAAGATTATTATTATTGTGTGCATAAATATAAAAACCACCACCTCCTCATAGGCCAGGGCTATTCTATTGGCGGCCTGCGGGCCGAACTCCCCCTGCACTAATATCGCTATTAGAGATGCCACCATTTGCCGATTTTACTATTAACCGCGCTTCATTTTGTCACCGTCAATCTTAAAGGCTTCTCAACGTCATGTTTCTGTTGCATGGAAACAAACTTCTGCCACTAATGCCAGGTTCAGACTGCATGATTTTAGCCCTGATTTTGACTCAGCGACAGGTTTTGAGAAATCGCAGACAAATGCCTGAAGTCACAGATGTACCTGTGACTTCAGGCATTTGTCTGCAATTCACAGGAGTGACAATCACACAGTATGAACTATCAAAGAAACGATCTGAGAGAATCGCTGATGAGTTGCCAATGCTGGTGAGATAATTGGCATGCTAAATATCTGGAGCTGTCGGCGATTCAAATCATGCCGTGTGAAATGAGTTCTGATTGAAAATAACATCCGCGATCACCTACAGCCAATGAGAGAGCAGCATCCACTAGCGTGGGTACCTGCAGGCCAGCAGGAGGTTGAGGGAGGAGTTAAAAACGCTCATTTTCTACTACATTTTCTATTTTAACTACCTGACAAGCATGGTCTTTGTTTTACCCATAAACAAATCATACAGTAAACGAATAAAGATAAATTACACACATAATTACCACCTGTCAATCACTTTTTCCGCGGGACTTGTGAATAGGCGTGAATAGGCAGTTTGATCTGTGTCTTATAATGGTGTCTTTGAAAAAGGTGGACAAACAGCAGGAACCAGCCAACAGTATCTGAGGGCAGTCTATTGACTCGCTGACTGCCTGGACCCGCTGTATCGAGCGCATGACAGTGTGTGTGCGTCTGTGTGTGCCTGTGTGTTAATGTGTGTGTGTGGTCATGTGATGTGCATTTTCAGCAGTGTGGAAGGAGGGCTGCTCGGAAATACTAAACGCCAGTGCGGATGTGGATCATTTTCGCTCTAAAAGGCCTTTTAAAAACTAAGACCTATTAGTGTAAACAGGGCCTGAGTGTGTATTTTTCGCAAGCAGATTTGCAACGGGGGTGGAGGATCATGATGCCGGCTCACCATCGTGTTGTCTGTCGGCCATCGGCGATGGACAATGGCATCATCTATCTGCCCAACCCTACTTGTCATGATACAAAATTTTGGTACTGAAATGTAAAAAAAGTCTATTTTTCGTTAACCTTTTAGTTCTGTTGATGGCGTTCTTAAACAGCGCTGATTTGCCATGGTGTTCACATGCTTAACAGAAATGACTGTGATTGGCCCTGAAGATCATCACTTCACCGCACTTCACTAATGTTTACCGTGTACAAACACAGATGAGCGATCCGCTGATAAATTGACTAATCTTCACAGCTCTAAAGTGCTCCAAAGTCCATCTATTTGTGTTTGTGATCTGTAAAGAGCGGTAAACTGATGACTTTCACAGCCAATCACAACCATTTCTATGGCTATGGCAAGTCAGCGCTGTTTATGAACACGTTCAGCGGCGCTTAAAAGTTGACGGGAAATGGACACTTTTAAAAGTTTAGGACAGGGACAACACTATTATAGACAATGTTTTTATATTTATTTCAATGTGTTTTCATGTTAAATAAAATTAAAGCGCATAACAGATTCACATTAAAGAGCAAGGGGCGATAACTAGTGGTTGGGTTGCGTATTGGGAGGATCACCTCTTTAATATTTATTGCCATCCTTCATATTAAAAAAAAAAAAATATATATATATATATAGATATGTATATATATATATATATATATATATATATATATATATATATATGGGAGAAAAAACTTTACAGGATGATAGGAGGGTTGACAGGTATGCACTTAGATTGTTAAAATAGTTCCCATTGTGTTAACGCTCTCAACAGATATGGCTGTGTTTGGCTCTAATAATAATCGCTGGTTTACAAGTGTGCTTACACAGACACTGGAGTGTTTAAATCTGCGTCTATCAGTGTATTTGTTTACGGATAGCTCATATATCTGCTTATAGATGGATCCTCTGATAAGTACAGATTTCAAACATTGACAGATTCGACTTTTAAAAGCTCCAGCGACCGAGGACTTTTCTGTCCCTTCAAAGTAGGCACTTGTGTTTAAATTTCAAAATAAGCTCTCATTAAAGTGCAATAGGGGATCTTGGAAAATGCTAATATTAGCCTGATAAAATTCAAAGTCTACATCCCACTCTGAAAACTGCTATCCCATGCTCCATGAATGCATGACTGCTACATTATACAACATCACTACAATGCATCACGTTACATTCACAACAGAGAAAACTACAATTTAATATTGTTTTTTTTTTTTTTTTTTTTTTTGCAGCCTGAATTAAATCTGCATCAGTGATTATGCAACCTGATTGTTTTGACTTTGTCATTTTTTTATGTAATGAGCTGACACAGACCGATAAATCAATGCTGTAATTATAGATATGCTCAATAACTCCCAGAACTCTGTGCTGTTCCTCCCTTGTGTTTCTGTGCGGTGCTCATGTGTCACTGTTTCAGACATTATTAATGCTGCTTCGTATATTTGTGGAATAGATTCATAGGATTCTTTGGTGAAAAGAAAATTTAAAATGATGGCTTTTATTTGATATAACTGTTACACTGAAAATACAGTTCAGATGCAAAAACCTCCAAGTGCCATCTGAGATTTTCTTCTAAAATGAAATTTTTCTAACAGTAGGCTTTTGTATGTAGGTTCAGTAATTTCACATTTATGGCAAAAATTATTTTTTATTCTTTATTGCCTGTAATGTGAAATAACTAATCATAAACAAGAGGCTGAGAAAGAGAGAGTTGAACACTTTTAGCTTAGCTTAGGATAAATCATTAAATCAGATTAGATCATGGGTGCCCAAACTTTTTCCTTTAAAGGGCCAAAAACCAAACTAGATTGAGGACTGTGGGCTGAATATATACCCATCCGTATTACAATAAATTTGCCAAGGGGAATTTTAGAATTAAAGGGACTAATCAAATGATGAATGAATAAATGCTTTAATGAGCAGAATAGGCTTATTTTTCATATTTGTGTACTGCACTACCTGATTTGCATCTCTCTCTCTTTCTCTCTCTCTCTCTTTGTGTGTAGAGTAATAGCTCGGAGCGGCGTGTGGCCCTGGATGTGGATTTATGGGATAAGTTTAGCGAACTCTCCACAAAGTGTATCATAAAGACAGTGGAGTTTGCTAAGCAGCTGCCAGGGTTCACCACCCTTACCATCGCAGACCAGATCACCCTGCTGAAGGCCGCCTGCCTCGACATACTGGTGAGAACAAGCCCAGATCTGCACACTCAAAGGTCAAAGCTAAAGGGTGCATTGGTTAAACACCTTAGGACTTTTCAAGGTTGTAAGTTCAAACCTTACAGGCTCTCCTTTGTGAAAAAAGATCACTTATTGTATGGAATGTGCATTCATAGTGAAATCTAAATCTTTTAAGCTTTCTGTTTATTGCAGATTAGGAAAACAAATAATAGAAAGATAAGTACACCTAATTTACTTTAAATTCTTCGACTGATGTATATTAATAGTATTTTGTTGTGTTTGACAAAAGCAAATTGAATGTATTGATTTTATATCTAGTGTATTACTTGACTTTGTATATAAATATATATAATTTATATGCATTATAAATGCTTATGTATTATTTCAGTAGAAATAACATAATTTTTGTATATTATATTATATTATATTATATTATATTATATTATATTATATTATATTATATTATATTATATTATATTATATTATATTATATTATATTTGGGGCTGTTTTAACTCATTCATTTAGTTATGGGGGAAAATGTCATTAAACAAAATAACTGGATATTTCTGTATTATTATAATTTTAATTTGTCAACATTTATTTACCGCATATAACACTTTACAATATGGGCCACCTAGTTAAAGTTAGATTTTGTATTTACTAACGTGAACAATGCTTGTACAGAATTTACTAACCATAGTTCAATGTTTAGTAATGCATTATCATGAACTAACAATGAACTACTGTATTTTCAATTACCAATATTTACAAAAATGAATTAATACTTTGATAAATGTGCTGTTTGTTGTTTATTCATGTTAGTAATTACATTAACTACATGTCCCATATTTTAGTGTTACCATTTTTTTATTTTTTTTTTTATTTTGGTACATAAATGATAAACATCCAAATTTACCCTGTATTATATTATATTATATTATATTATATTATATTATATTATATTATATTATATTATATTATATTATATTATATTATATTATATTATATTATATTATATTATATTTTATTATAATATATTATATTATATTATATTATATTATATTATATTATATTATATTATATAAGACTATCTTATATAATATTATATTATATTAGACTATATTATGTTATATTTTAATATATTTGACTATATTATATTATTTTATCTTATCTTATCTTATCTTATCTTATCTTATCTTATCTTATCTTATATTATATTGTATTATATTATATTATATTATATTATATTATATAAGACTATCTTATATAATATTATATTATATTAGACTATATTATGTTATACTTTAATATATTTGACTATATTATATTATTTTATCTTATCTTATCTTATCTTATCTTATCTTATCTTATCTTATATTATATTATATTGTATTATATTATATTATATTATATTATATTATATTATATTTAGAGCTATCAATTTCAGCTCATTAATTGAATTAATTTAATTAAAATAAAATGCTATTTTTATATTAGTAAAAAGAAATGTCTTAATTTACTTTCCTTTGTGTCAGTTTAAAGCTGTTCAAATATATTATTTTGTGGTTCATAAATGATGAAAACCAAAATGTCTCAGAACTGCAATAAATATACCAAAATACCAATAAAAAAATTCTTAGAAAAAAACAAATCGATTAGATTTCGCTTAAGTTTAAAGACTACAGATTAAATCAGGAGTGACCAACCCTGATCCTAGAGCTCTACCTTCCTGCAGATTTCAGTTGCAACCCATATCAAACACACTTACCTGTACTTATGAAGGGTTTTTCAGGTCCTAAGTAATTGGTTCAGGTGTGTTTGATCAGGGTTGGAGCAGAACTTTAGAGGACCAAAGTCATTTGGAGCACCCCTGGATTAAATTATAGATTATATATTAATTTTAAGCATGCTATTTCTTGTCTACACGACTTTAAAAAAAAAATAAAAAATCTTAATTCTTTTTTAGAAATGTTGTTGATCTATGTTCGATCATCACTGTGTCTCTGCCAGTTAAAAATGGTGCTGTAAGTCTCCCTTGTGTTTCTGTGTTTTAGATTCTGAGGATCTGCACCCGCTACACGCCCGAGCAGGACACCATGACGTTCTCTGATGGTTTAACACTCAACCGAACACAGATGCACAACGCAGGCTTCGGTCCGCTAACAGACCTGGTGTTCGCTTTCGCTAATCAGCTACTACCGCTAGAGATGGATGACGCTGAGACGGGACTGCTCAGTGCTATATGTCTGCTGTGTGGAGGTACACAGACACACACTTTAACACAGATATGGGTTGTTATAAAATATACTTACATATAGTTGTGTTTTTATAAGACTAAATAGCATGCTATGCTTTTATACTTGTGTACATTGTATTTTGTATGCCTTTTTGAAACTGTAGACCTCGTGGTGCAGTTTAGTGGGTGGTGGGGCATTTTCTGAATACATGAATGTCATGTAAACAGTCTAACATACTGTGCCAGTGTTATATAATGGAGTTTTATATGCATATCAATATCTATTGATACGTGGCGGTCTAGTGCCTCACAGTGTTTGGTGGCGGTATTGCATTCAAACTCTTTACAGTGATGCATTTTGGTTATATATAAAAAAAATACAGTTTCTCTAGATCAGGGGTCTAAAACACAAATTGGCAGGGGGCCATATCAGTGACCGCTTTAATATTCAAGCACAACAAAAAAGTGGAAACCTGATGTAATTGATGCACTCAGATATTCTTCCCCAGAGTATCAAAGCTCCTTCTTTTTGTTTCTTATTGTACTGTATATGTTGAAGGGGTAGTTTAAATTACAATGAAAATACTACTAATTAATATTATTAATTATTATTCTGTCCGAGTCAGTTGTTGCTTGAAAAATCTTGAAAAATATCTAGTCAAATATTACTTGCTGTGTTCATGGCGAAGATAAGATCAATCAGTTATAAGAGATGAGTTATTAAAACTATTATGTTCGAAATGTGTTGACAAAAATCTTCTCTCTGTTAAACAAAAGTGGCGGAAAAAATCAACTGGGGGGCAAATAATTCTGACTTTAACTGTATATAATAGAACGAATATTAACATTTACTCAAAGCCAAATTAATGAATCTAGCATATCTCTAGAAACAAATTATTCTCATAAGAAAGAACGATAATTCATTACACATTTATTGCATATGGTTTCCACATCTACATGTTATCATTTACAACTATTTTATTTTTGCATAAAATGACAATTAGTCAAGTTTCCTAGTGATGGGTTGCAGATGGAAGAGCATCCGCTGCGTACAACATATGCTGGATAAGTTGAGGGTTCATTCCGCTGTGGCAACTCCATATTAATAAAGGGATAAAGCCGAAAAGAAAATGAATGAATGTATGAAAATTAGTCAAAAATGACAAACATGTTTCTATTTTTACAGAATAAAGTTTAACTTATATTTAGGATATTTGCAATATATATATATTGTATCTCTAATAACTGATTTATTTTATCTTTGCCATCATAACAATAAATCATATTTGACTAGATATTTTTCAAGACACTTCTATACAGCTTAAAGTGACATTTAAAGGCTTAACTAGGTTAATTAGATTAACTAGGCCGGTTAGGTTAATTAGGCAAGTTATTGTATAATGATGGTTTGCTCTGTAGGCTATCGAAAAATATATTGCTTAATGGGGCTAATAATATTGACCTTAAAGTGTTTATTATTCTAGCCGAAATAAAACAAATTAGATTTTTTTTCAAAAGAAAAAATATTATCTGACATACTGTGAAAATTTCCTTGCTCTGTTAAACATCATTTGGGAAATATTTAAAAAAGAAAAAGCTCTAATCGGAGGCTAATAATTCTGACTTCGACTGTAGGTCGGATAGCATTTCTTCACATTTTCAATTTAAAAACATTGCAGTTTCTTTGACAGTTGGTCAGATTAACACATATTTTCATTGGATGTGATTGACATCATGTTTTCCCAACACAAATCAATTAACTTCATAATTTAAGTAGATTTACACATATTAAGTTAAACTTAAAACTTCAAAAATTGTAATAATAAATAAATTTAACTGATTTTAAATAAGTAGTTTGAACAAACAGCAAAATAATTTTTAGCTCAGGATTGCCTCATCAACTTTTGCAAATATCTTAAATATAAGTTAAACTTTATTCTGTAAAAATAGATGAAACATGTTTGTCATTTTTGACTAATTGTCATTTTACGCAAAAAAAAAAAAAAAATTAAAATGTAAACGATAACATATGTTGATGTGAAAACCATATTTACAGTGCTCAGCGTAATTGATAAAACCCTATTTTGAAAATTAATATTTTTCTCCTTTTCTTAGTGAACATAGGCAATGTATTTTGGTACATTTAAACAAAACAGATTTATTAAACAGATATATTTATTAAAATAATATTTTAGCCACCAAATATATTTAGAAATTAAACGATAATGCAACAAAATATAGGTAAAATATTGAAAAAATAAATTACAACCTACAAAATTTCTACTAAATTTTTCTATTTTCTTGCTTCTTTTCATTTGTCTTTTTAAAATTTATATGAATTATTTTTCTATAACATAAATTTGGTTTTACTCGTTTTTGGACCGTTATCGTTAGTTATTTTGTTAGACAAGCTCTAGATTTGGCTTCAGTACTGACCAATCTAATGTATATGCACGAAAATAATATTGAATAGCATCCAACTAAAAATATTAATTTAAAAGAGAGATTTATCAGGGGTGTACTTATATATCCCTGTACTGTTACAAATGCAAAAAATGTGTAATGAATGATTGTTCTTACTTAAAGAATTAGTAATTAATAACGAATGATCCCTCTGGTAAAGTGTAACCTTAAATGCTGACATGAATTTATAAATAATTTGTAATTGAAATAATATTTTAGTATATAAATTGTTGTATAAAGTATATACTTTAATTTTATTTATGTAATTGTTCATTCAGTTTTCAACTTCAAGATTTGTTTTATTCATGAAGAACAATTATGAGGGGAAATGTTCAGTTTGATAGTGTTACACTGCAAAAAGAATCTATTACATTATTTTAATGTTGAGGTTAAAGATGATTTTAACATTTCTGCTAGTTTTTTTCGTGAGGTTCACCGGTATTTTCTCTGATATTCTTCCAGTCTTAGTGTGTATCTGTACGCTCTCCTACCAACAGCCTGAGAGCTGGATTTCACAAGGTGTTGTGAGCTGAATATGAAGTGGTGTTTGTTGGTTTGTGCAGATCGGCAGGACCTGGAACAGGCTGATAAGGTGGATGTACTGCAGGAACCCCTTCTGGAAGCACTGAAGATCTACGTGAGGAACAGAAGGCCACACAAACCACACATGTTCCCTAAGATGCTGATGAAGATTACTGATCTGAGGAGCATCAGTGCAAAGGGTGAATTGAGAATTCAGCTTTTCTTCCCCTATTAGGCCATGTCTTGTAGGTAGAAAAATACAAGCGTAGCTTTTGTATCTTGAAATACATTTTGAACAAGCGATGAATGAGTTCATCATGACAGAATCTTCATTTTTGGGTGAAACTATCTAGATAGTCTAAACTATAATACTACTATATTTTGTCTGCCAAACAGATTAGCGCCATGATTGGTATATTCCAATTGATGTTTTACTTTGTTTATGGCTATAAATATGAGGAAATACAAAGGTTAGTTTAATACCGACGTTACAAGATTCCAACGACAAGCAATTTGGCTGTCTACACCAAACACAGCGTGACATCCAGAAACATTTGGTAATCAAAAGGTAATAGCTTTTAATTGAATTAACATAGGGCTAATGGGTGACTGGGGTTTTTGGAGTTATCTGCTCCTTCTTTCAGCGTTATGGCAATAAACCTCACATCAAATGATATTTAATATCATGTTGGTAGAATTTACACCAAATAAAGAACATAATCTATGGAGTCAATCTAAAGGGGTGATTAAGTTTTGAGAAATAAAAATGACATTTGCAAACTGAACTGCAAATAAAAATCAAGCAGTGCAAAAAAAAAAAAAAAAACTCAAATATTTGCAATAAAAAAACTATATATATTTACAAAACATTTTTACCATTGCCTTTACAAAACCCGTCCAGTCAATTGCAATGCTTATTTTGATTAGCTTTTTTTTATGCGCATTTCACTTTGTGGTCCTGATTTGAAAAGGTGGCGGGTCAAGGGAACATGGGCGTTCCCTTTGCAGTTCTTTATTTTTATTAGCAAAATGTATTATTATTTCTCAAAAAATTAATTTTCACTTTGCGATTTTTGGAGATTTGCTATTTTCATTTATTTTTTGCTCAATACTTTTTGTTTGCAAAACTTTATTTTGTTTTGCAAGTATATGTGGCTGTAGATTGACTCCATAATAATCTGTTCCTGAGGTGATCAGTGTCTTATTAGTATATCCTTTTATTCTGCCGCATTATAACAGAAATGGAAATGGTTTCTAAAATAGAAATTTTGCGCTATAGCATCAAGATGATTAGGACAAAAACTGTTTATTTATGTAAAATTTTATTTGTTAAATTTTAGCATGGAAAAGATACCTTTTATCGCAATATGTTGCATGTAGTTAGGAAAACATCAGCTATATCACTAAACTCAAATAGTTTGAAAGGGTTTCAAAGAAAAAGCCCCTACTCTCATCCAATAAAGCTTCTTCAGCTTTTTTTATTTCAAAATGTTAAACAATATAGACATAGTTACCAAGGATGCCAATATTTGTCAGGATATGTAGTCAATATTAGTCCAAAGTAATAATAATCAGAGATTTTTGCAACAAAAATGATTTTTGTGGTGAGTTTTAGCAAATTTTGCAGTGTAGTTTACACTATTTTATTGTTTTGCTGTGACAATATAGGCTCCACAAAAAATGTGTGAGTTCCACAAAATGGAGCATTTAACATTTGCTTGAATTTGCATTAAATTCAGTGATCGTTGAATTGTCAAATCCTTCAAGGGTCTGATTAGTGGAAGGCGCTGTATCCCGGACGAGCCCCCAATCTAGGGAAAATAATGTACTGTGAAAGACTACTATTCCAGTTTTAATTCTTTTTTTTTTTTTTATCTCTCTCAGGAGCGGAGCGTGTGATCACCCTGAAGATGGAGATTCCGGGCTCCATGCCTCCTCTAATCCAGGAGATGTTGGAGAACTCTGAGGGTTTGGAGAGCTCCTCAGGCGCACAGGGCTCACGGGCCTCCGCCACTACTCCGGGCAGTTGTAGCCCCTCCCTCTCTCCCAACTCCGCCCAGAGCAGCCCGCCCACACAGTCACCGTGACAACCATCATCTAAACCATCATTAGCCACTTACGGACTACTGTGTGCTCTCCCGACACACTCGAAAAACACACTCTCAGTGCCGATACTCTGCCTGTGGGAGAATCAAAGCTGTGTTACCGGAATTTTTATTTTTTTTCCTCAGATCAGACTGTGATTGTATTCCTCCTTAATTCCCAAGGGGGGACAAGGGTGAAGAAAGAAAAGAAAAAAGAAAAAAAAAACTTAAGAATGAATGAATGGACAAATTTGTAGAAGGACTTTTCTTCTGCTTCGATTCTTCTGGCCTGCAATGACCAGAGACTGATTTCCTACAAACTAAAAACACATAAATATATATAGAGAAAACCTGGAATGATTGTGATTGCGAATAGAATGAAACATGGACTTGATGTAAAAATGCATTTCCTCACTTTTTCTCTTAATGCCTGTGAAAGGACAAAGAGTGAATTGTTTTCTTTCAGACTGATTATGATGTTTTTCATGGAGAAAAAAAAACATTGAAAAGATTATTAATTTTCACTCACAAAATTGTGCACAGAAGATATAAAAATGGTTGCAAAAAAACAAAGTTTGTGTGATGTTTTCTTTCCTTGATTTGTCTTCAAGCTACTAGCAAATTTCTCCAGAATTTCTACTATATTTTAATATAGTGTGTTTTGCTTAATATTTGATAGATGAAGTTCTAAAAATGTCAATAAGAATTCTCAAGGCCCTGATATACTTTCTGCAAATGTGGATCTTTGTTGCTGAGAAGTAAACAAATTCTGAACATCGGAGCGGTGGTGTTCTGTTTTTCTTGTGTCTGACATTGCTGAATTGAGTGAAAAAATTAGCCTGAGAAAATCTGCACTTTAAAAAAAATGAATGTAATATAACATCATACATGATAAATCCAAATACCCAACACAGCGTTCTGCAGACAAGGACAAGGAGATTTAAACCACTGAAACAAACTTCAATTCAATTCAATTCAGCTTTATTTGTATAGCGCTTTTACAATGTAGATTGTGTCAAAGCAGCTTCACATAAATGGTCATAGTAACTGGAACAGTGTGGTTCAGTAACTGGAACAGTGTAGTTCAGTTTTTAGTGTTTAAGTTCAGTTCAGTTTAGCTCAATTCAGTGTGATTTAATCATTACTGAGAGTTCAAACACTGAAGAGCCAATTCATCGAACTTCAAGAACACAAGGATCTTGATAGGTACTTCTTTAAACATTTTTCATTCCACTAAAGCTTTTTTATAGTGATAAATATTATTTATATTGATAAAATGTTTGTTACAATTTGAAATGAACAGTTCTTTGAAGAAGCTTGGGGAAAAGTTCTTGGTCACACTTTATTTTGATGGTCTGTTTGTTGAATTTAGGTTGCATTGCATCTACATGCCAACTAATTCTCATTAGATTAAAAAGTAGACTGTTAGGTTGGGGTTAGGGTTTTTTATAGTCAGTTAAATGTCTGTTGAAGGAGCAGTATCAACAGATATTAAGCAGACAGTCTACTAACACTCAAATGGACCATCAAATTAAAGTGTTACCAAGTTATTCTATGGCATCACATTAAAAATCCCTTTTTGTTTCCTCCTGGCACTTTTAATTTTGCTGTATTTGTTTTTTCATTTTACTTGATGAAAAAAAAGCTGCATATTACGATAAGTGCGGATTTATGTTTGGTTTTGTTTTGGTATGGGTCCCCGAATGTTCACCAAAATTTAGTACACCACGCACAACAAGAATGAGAGTGTTTAGATTAGAATATTTAAAGAAGTATCTGATCAGAGGGATGTGTTTGTTTTCATGTTTTTTTTTCTCATGTCAGAGGAAACCAATGAGCCTAAGAAGATTTATATATCCAACTAATAAAACTTATTGAATACTTATCATAGAGGTTTCCGTTTGCAGGTGTTTTATAGTATACTGGGGCCTTGATTATATTAAACATTTGATAGGTAAAGGGTAATTAACAGTTGCAGTGCATTGAAGTAGAGTCCCCAAATCAAATCTTAACCATATGATTTTGTTAGCTCACATTGCCAGTTTTGTGGGGAACGATTCATCTGTGCATGCCATTAAGAAAAAAAAGTTTGCCCTACTAGTCTTTAATCTGAAAATGCACTTCTTGTTTGTTTTCAGTTTAATAACCAGATTATGTGATTTTGAGGTAATGACCGTGGCTAACACACTTAACCATGCTGGTTAAACTGTCCCGATTTGACATCAAACAGAAATAGTGAGCAGGAGGACTCTTTTGGGTTGTAATAACTTTCCTCAAACCCTTTTGTAGATCTTTCTGAATTAAATGCCTACTTTCCTACATCCATTAAGCCTATGGTAGAAAACACAAGCAAGCCACACTGTTTGCTCATTTAAAATTCATTTAAGAGGTCACACTTAGTTGATGATTGATAATTAAGCTTGTTTGGCATGCTGTCCCGGGAGAGAACCCTTAGCTCATAAGATCCTCAAGCCCGGGGGCTGGGGCTGGGAAGAGATAACTACTTACTAGTAGCATGTATGTGGTCCTAATTTGGATTAGTCAATTAACTTAAGTTGCATGTTTTTGGATGGTGGGAAGAACCCAAGGTAAACCCACGTGAGCACGGGGAGAAAGTGTAAACTCCGCACAGAAACGTCAGCTGGCTTGGTAAGGACTAGAACCAGTGACGTTCTTGCTGTGAGGCAACAGTGCTAACCACTGGGCCACCGTGCCACCCATCTAGGAAAGGAAGAGGAGTAGGAGTGGAAGGGCGGATTCTTCGAAACAAAGATGGCTGTTATATGGAACTATAATGGCTTAGGAATTGTATGATTGGTGAGTAAAAAAGTGATTAATGTGGGGCCGGCTGCAAGCCATCATAAGCACGTGCTACTCTCAAAATGAGTTTATAAATAAACTTCAGGAAAAAAAAATCATTGCAGCTTTTGTTACACAGGGACTTTAAGGGTTAAATCACCTGTGCGCAACAATGGTCTTCTTGAGTTGTATGGAGGAGCTTCTGAAGGTCAACAAGAGGGACGATTGTGGATGTTATGTTGGAGTTTGTTTAGATGTCTTTCATGTCTCAGACCATGAACCAGGCCATTAAGTCCAATGAATTGTCTAAACAGCAGATCTTTGAGACAGGTTTGTATCAAAGCACAGATCTAGGAAAGGGTACAGAAAAAATGCAACATTAAGGGTGTACTCACACTATGTACAGTTGCCTTGAACCGGGCCAAAGCATGCTTGTCCCGGCCCACACTCGCATTACATTCGGGCCTGGGCACGCTAAAGTCATATATGATGTGTTGTTCAGTAAATGCTTTCGCTCAGCACAGCGGAGATTTCTTTATCAGTTATATCGTTTGAGTCGTTTGATACGCAGTGAAACTCTGTCAAATATTTCGCCGAACAGATCCGCCACTTTTGACACTCATAAACGATCGTAAAATCCTTGTGCTGCAGGAATTATGAGGTTTGCTGAAGGTGCAGCTGTCATGCAGAGAGGGGTTTGTGTGTTAAATAATCTATGACAGTTTGCGTTCTTTGAACAGTAAAGGCCTGTGCACACCTGAACGCTTTTTGCTCGCGTTATCCATAGACATTTAAAGCCTCGTGACTAAAAAAAGGACGTCAATGAGTGAGTGCACACAAACGCACAAAACGCCAGGCGCTGCGTCAAAACCTTCTCCACCAATTAGGTTGGCACTTTTGTTCACGTGCAAGGAGCTGCTGAAGTTACAGAAAACAGCACTTGGAGGCACTCAAGCAGAAAACTGTCAATGCAAGATCACTGAAGAAGATGCCCAGAGGGGATATGAACATGAAGCTGCTTTTTGCACAGGTGAACAATAATCATTTCCTCATCGCTAGAGCTGCTACTTGAACCATCCATAACAACAAGCATGTCAACTTTGTCTTCTTCTGTTACAAGCGAGTTTCAGAAGCTTAAAGTTGTGTAGTGCCATCTAACAAAGAGTGATTTTGCATACTCTTCTGCTCGACACCAATGAAAATCGATTGTGTTTGAATCCGGAAAAACGTCTTGAAAATCGATAATGATCATCGCAAACAAAAAGCATCCCGGTTGTACAAGCCTTAAGAATAATTAATAAATACATATCAAACAGTCCCTTAAAAGTCACGTCTTGCTTACAGTTTCAGGCTGTGGCGCATTTTGCACTCACACACCAGTGTACCGCGCCAAAGCCCAAGTGAACCGCGCTCTGGCCCACCTCTTCCAACCGGGCCAGGGCTGATCAAGTGAACCGTGCCTGAGCTTGATTCAGTGCACTTACACTTCTCAAACGGGCCTGGGCACGATTCGGATAGCATACTGTGAGTAGGCTCTAAAGGTCCCAATGAGCACAGTGGCCTCCATCGTCCATAAACGATCGGAGTTTGGAACCACTAGGATACTAGAGTGCCTGAACAAATGAAGCAATTGAAGCAGAAGAACCTTAGTCATGAAGGTGAACAAGAACTTGATGGTCTCTCTGAAAGAGCTTCAGCATTTTGCTGTGTAGAAAGGAGAACCTTCCTGAAGATCTTCTCTGCAGCACTTCACCAAACTCCATGACAGCCCTGACATCCTGAAGTTTTCCAAAATAAATGATCTGGTCTAATGACAAACTTTTTTCACCTGAATGGCAATCATTATACCTTGAGGAAACTCCACATTTTTGGGTTGTCATAACCCAGTGGTGGGTCTGTCCATATTTGACCCGACATTGTGTTAAAAACTGCATTTTTTAGAGTGTAGGGGAGACTGGGTATAGTTGAAACACAGCAAGAGTTGTAACACCACCAATTTCACGAATATGGGATAAGATAGGGGTCATGTGACATTTTCAGTTTCCTCAGGTTTCCTTAACAACCACATATGGAGATTTCCCAGTCTTGCAATCAAATTCTGAAGTAAGAAAGATTAAAAAACAAAATAATATTTTGTTTAGTACTTACGTTGTAGATGATGTTGTATGAGTTATATCAGATCAAACTGTAGTTTCTCTAGTAAAGAATGGTGTATCAAACTCCTGCTAATTTCAAAGCACCATGCCAATACAGCTAGCTAAACAATGGGTGACAGTGGTGGGGTGGGTTGAAACAAATGTTTTGAAAGTATACACACATATGAATGTGCATGTACAGACATGCACACACAAACACACAATATGCACATACACTTCCAATATTCACATATATTGCATTGTTGCAGTCATTTATTTACAATAAAACTGTTGTTGTGGCATATCACTAGTAGCATGCTTAGTTTTTGTGCATTTTGTCAACCTGTTACAATTTATTCCAGTATGTGTTACCCAGTAGTAGGGTAGCTTGTAACAACTGACCACTTTGTATTTGTCATCATCTTACAATGTCTGTGACGGTATGAGGAATTTTAATTGTTTACATTTTAGTAGACAAATGTGGGTACTTTGCATAAAAGTTTCAGCCATGAAGCTAAAAAAAAGTAGTTTTAGGTGCTCTCTTTAATTGTTTGATTGTAGTTCTAGCTTTTTCTTTAATTGTGTTACAATCATCCCAGATCTCCCCTATACACCATTCATTGCCTGGCCAATACCATCCCAACGTTAAAACATGGAGGTGGCAGCATAATGATGTGAAGGTGTTTTTCAGTGAAAGAAATTGCCAGACTTGGATTGATAAAGAATAAATGCAGCAGAAACCTCCATGATGAAATCCTGCTCCAGAGTGCTCTCAACCTCAAACTGGGGAGACGGTTCCTCTTGCCTAGATAACAAAAGAGCAGCTACGGGACGACTCTGTGAATGT